TGATGGTGATGATGGTGATGATGGTGGTGATAGTGGTGATAGTGGTGATGATGATGATGGTGATGGTGATGATGATGATTATGATGGTGATGATGATGGTGATGATGGTGATGATGGTGGTGATGATGATGGTGGTGATGATGGTGGTGATGGTGTTGATGATGGTGTTGATGATGAGGATGGTGATGATGATGGTGATGATGATGGTGATGATGGTGATGATGGTGGTGATGATATGATGATTATGATGATGGTGATGATGGTGATGATGGTGGTGATAGTGGTGATGGTGATGATGATGGTGATGATGGTGATGATGGTGATGATGGTGGTGATAGTGGTGATGATGATGATGATTATGATGGTGATGATGATGATTATGATGGTGATGATGATGGTGATGATGGTGATGATGGTGGTGATGATGATGGTGGTGATGATGGTGGTGATGATGGTGGTGATGGTGTTGATGATGGTGTTGATGATGAGGATGGTGATGATGATGGTGATGATGATGGTGATGATGGTGATGATGGTGGTGATGATATGATGATTATGATGATGGTGATGATGGTGGTGATGATGGTGATGATGATGATGATGCTGATGATGCTGATGATGAGGATAATGAGGATGGTGATGATGATGATGTGGATGTGTCGGGGTTCACTTTAAAAAAAAATTAAGAGAACATGATCAAGAGAAGAAAAGAAACAGCTGAGAAAGAAAAGATGACCAACATGACCAAGGAGAGTTCCCCGCAAATCAGCATGGATCAACAGTTGTTTTTTAATCCATTTTAGTAACATGGAAGAGATTATGATAAAGAAAAAAGATTACTTGTCGGGTCTTGTAATTTCCCTCAGCCTCACATGGTAGTTGGAAGATGATTCTTCCCTCTTCCCTCTCTCGAGGGGGGGGGGGAGGGGTGGGTGGTTGTTACCATGGACCACACCAATAAAGCGAAAGGGCTTTGAGTCCAATGCTTTGTAAATTCACCTATGACAGCTACAGGTATACAACCCAATTAATCAATTCTACTAATATTGATCTGCCAAATACGCTGTAAGCTTCGTTGGTTTCTGAGTGATTTCACCAGAACACTATAAATCATGAAGATTAACAACGCTTCATGATGCGTGACACAGCGTTTTGTCTTAACAAGTATTCGAATATCATAATTCTTGTGATCCTTCGTGTTTTGTCTTGTATCATTCTTTATTTCCTTCCATCCGTTCCTTCCTTCACATAGTTTATTTTTTTACTTGTCTTCCTTATTCAGTTCCTTTTTCTTTTCTTTCCTTCTCTTTCCTACCCGGCTGTAACTAGTAACTATTGATCACCCGATGCCTAACCACGAACGTATCTAATCTACCCCTCAACTGCATGAAAAGTTTAACTTTGTTTTACGTGAAATACCTCTCCAAACTTTGTTTAGTGGAGGTGACGTGGTCTACCATTTAAGAACCCGGACTGTGAACCACTAGGTACGGGGTACGAATCTGCATTTGCCACTCTCGACCCAAGTGCAGCAAGTGTGTATTATTACCTGGTAGGATTTATTCCTTGAATAAACTGGGCGATATGGCTGCTAGAGCTAAAGTCGGGGTAACAATATCCAAAGTCCTTTGGAAGCGCATACAGATGTCATATGCATATAGGAGAGCTGCATATTATAATTAGAATTAAATCAAATGTGATTCTGCAGTCTTAATCAATTCTTTGATATACTCATGGCCACTATGAGATAGCTGACAGAAGAGAACGCCATGCTTATACAATCATGTAAGTTTGTTGATAGTAAGCTTTCCACACTGCGAATGTAAATACACTGCCGTAGGTGGCGCCACATGTCTTCCAAATTTGTATTTCAGTTGTCAATAACAATGGGGATAATAGTACTATTCTCCTGACAGATGGTCCTATGTAAATGTAAATTGATCGATAGACAAACGTCAGACTTGCATACATACACGAGTATGTGTTATGTGAGTATAGCAAAGACGTACAATAGATTTAGTAAAGTAACGTAGTAAAATAACGTGTATAATATGATAGTATTTTGACGGTGTTTTCAAGCAAGGTTTAATGATGATGTTTGATGATTGTGTTACCTGACTGATAAGAAAGCATGTAAGCAACCAAGGGATCGACGGCTTTAAGTCTTCTCCGAGGGACTTGATAGTGAGGATAAATGCCTTGCAAAAGGGCATGAGCACGTCGATTTGGTTTCGAACATGGGGTCTCCGGTTTCGGGACCACAGCTTCACCACTGAGCCATAACACCTCCTCAAAATATTTTTGTTTAAAGAACTTGCCTTACGAGGCATAAAATACTAATAACAATGAATTATATAAAACTATATGTGTATGTTTTGGAATTACAGAATTGAAACATATATTATGATAAACTTAAATAAAACTGGTTATGAGGAGCATATAACTGAACACTTTCATGTGAAGGTGTCGTGATGTAGTGGTTCTTTGACTCTCAATTCAAGGGTTGAAGGTTCGAATCCCAGCACTCACGTCCTTGATACTAATAATACTAATAAAATGGGTGCTTATAAAGCGCTTTCCACCGAAGTCTCTAAGCGCTATGGATGTATACTAATCCAAATTTGCCACCATCCACCCTGGTGTAAATGGGTACCTGGCAATTGCAAGAGTAATAATAGTTGCAGGTCCCTCAGGGAGAACAGCATTGATGCTGAGGTGGCTTCCCTGTTTTAAACAAAATTACTAATCATCAATTACTATACCTGGATAAATTGATTACCAAATAATAATGACGTTGGTTCATCTGACGTCATTTCACGCTATGAGGCGACAGTGATTATTCTCGACGGCAATAATTATGTAATCCACGAAACAGCGCCAACACTTCATGTTTTGCTGTCTAAATCTTCATGGTCACTGCGTTGTATAACAATCCATAACTAAATCGGGGTTTGAATCTATATTAACGATGACAATCATGATAATGCGAAACTATTGCTAAAATAGTGCCTTTGTACAGGTGTCTCCGAACTGTTAACCACGGGGTTCTAATCCCTGTCGCAGCAATGATGTCCTTTGGCAAGACATTAATCCACCTTTGCACATTCTACGCAGGTGAGGTAAATGGGTACCAGGAAGCCATGCTAAAGCCACCCAATCATTGCAGGGCGCCAGGAGAGCCCAGTTTGACAGACATACAAGAACCCATTGTTATTAGTATGATGATGATGATGATTAGGTTTGACTCTAGCTTTAAAATCCTCGACATGATGGCAACATGCACGTTCCTTGTTATCGAAGTTCCTGCATGAATTACAAGCTTCAAAAGTATCGACGAACACTCAAGAAAGATGGACAAGTATGCCCTTCAATTATTCAATTCTTGAAAAATCAAAACTCCATTTCTTTGGTGAACGATATAGTAACATGTTTCGACAGGGAACACAATCACTTGCTAACAGTATCTCCGAAATCAATGAAATGTCCCGGAATTCAGGTTTGAGAGCTTGAAGTGGAGGACATTACTCTCGCCTTCGGCTTTCCAATGAAAAGAATCGTCTTTTTGCAAATTACCTAAATCTCCTAAAGCTCTTCGACAGTCTTGACTTAGAGTTAGAACCCCGTCGTTTATATTTTGTAAACATCTGATCAATTATTGCACAGCTATGCCTTTCCAATATCCTCAGCCGCTCAATCGGATTTACGGGGCTTGACTTTGACAATGAAAGTATTGAACGAAACTACTTCAAAGGTAACGGTGTGTACTTATGAAAAGCCAGCACCCTTGACCATGGTCAGCCAGCAGGGAGGTGGACGGTGGTCAAAATCCTCTTTTCTAAGATAATCCTTAGTGTAAGGTTCTGACCAAGTTTGACCTTATTAGCGGAAGGAGGATAAAGATAATGTCACAATAGAGCTTGCAAACTTGGAGATAATTCGTCTTTTACGATTGTTCGTGTAAATCCTCTAACGCCTTAATTGATCCAGTGACTCAGAGAGGATCCTAATAGTAAGGTCTTCCGACCCGAAACGATAAGACACAACTCAACATCACCTGATAGACCAGCAAGTAGGTAGATCTAAGTCTCGGTTGTTTAAGAGACATTGGTCGATTGGTCCATAATACTCCAATCAGTAGAATGCAATCTTGAAGCATGACTTGGACACATACAATTTTGAACTATAACTTTCTTTTTTCTCAACTATATTTCCTTAAGCTAAGAATCAACTACAAACGAATCTCTTAAAAAAGTCATCTGCTTTTTTGTGGCACTGACCATAAAACTTGCTTTATATCTTGTATGTTTTATGTAATCTATTTTTCCTTTGTATATATTGCTTTTATATGGTTCAAGGAATTTAATTAAATTTGTTTAAATTTCAACCATACTTAGTCTTCGTATTAGCCCTTTACATGTGAATATTGCACTGTTAATCACTCTCAGAACTGAGTCCAACTGATCATCTGTTATATTGTAATCGGCAGCAGTCTTAAACTTAACAAAAGTGCAGAAGCCGAGTGGACGACTTTATACACAGACAGGGGAAGACGTCGAATTATGTAATACGTGAATCTGAATAGCGTCTAAATATTAAAAATGATAAAAGATATTTGTAGTTTTTAAGAAAGCCTTAAGAAAAAATTAAAGAATAAAAGTGATCGAAAGACAAAAATAAAAATATTTTGAAAATGAAGTTGTTGGTTTTTTCTAATAATAAAATAGCCTTAAGACGAAAATGGAAAAATTATGGAAGTAATGAGATTGTTTTTTTTTCTGATTCATACTTATCCATCCCACGAGATGCTTAAGGCGCTGAACAACATACTTACATCATTACAAAGTGTAGAAAGTTTCGTATGAAGACAAAGTATACATGGCATATACAGGAGTATATTAGATTGCATTCGGCTAAACAAATACATTCGAGGAATCTGATACAATATTTTGTTTAAAGTGAGAAAATGGAGTTTGATGATTTCAAAATGGATGGATACATACTGATTATGATCTTGAGTTGCATGATGTATGGAGGAGAAACCAGTTCCACAGCAGGATATATACTCATAGAGGAGTCGCTTCCTCTTCTCCTCCTCAAGTCGTCTTGATCGGGATGGCATCTTTAGGTTTGATCCGATGATCCCATGAACCAACTCAACCCATGGAATCTGGATTCTTTGATAGTTCTTGAATCCCAGTATTTGTCAGAGGCACTCTTATAACACGCAAAAGAGTCTGACAGTAAACTCACTTCTCAGACCTATATAAACCTAATAGATGTACAATGAACTGTAAACCACGACATGCAGTCCTTTAGTCCTGTGTGCACTTTGACAGTTCTTTCATAGTTCCTGGACTCTCTGGTTTGGAGAATATACTGCTCAGAGAAGGCCTTACAACACGAAAGGGGATCCTGCTCTGGTCCGACCTACAAAAGGCCTATACGTAACAGATGATTTAATGTCCTAGAAGTACGGAGAGAATCACAAAGAAGAAATCTTGTCCAATCAATCTCGCTGATAAGACCGAATATGTTCGAATCCATTATTGGTATTCCGTTTGATCCGATGAGTCCATATCTTGTTGAAATGTCTTGTCAGTTTACATCCAGCGGAAACATACCGTCATGTATCCTATAGTTAAGACACTGCTCTAGTAATGTTTCAGCTGCCACATTTAAAATACGATGGCGGCTTCGGACTAGCAATCAATACACGGATACCTTATCCCATTAGGCGGTTGACCGAATTTAAAGTATCCTTTTCATCCAACGGCTCCACAAACTAGACCAACGAACGCCTTACAGGAAAGCGACACATAACCGAGTTCGTTTCAAGATCAAAATGTTGCTCTCTGCGAATATCGAAATGGGCCTCACCCAAACATTGCCCTTCTCCAGCTTATTCAAAGAGGAATGTTCGTGACGGGTTTTTTTATGAGACAACCGTTGAGTCATTCATTGGTAATATTGAGTTCCATTGGTGATGATGATAATAATAGCCCGCGGCCGGCTAGGTGGACTACTAATCAATCGATCCGTGGAGTGTAGAATCACAAAAGGTGTACACGAAAGCTCCCATTGATTTATGACGTATCGGTGAGCATTGAGAATGAACAGGAAGTCTGCTTCATATTCCTCTACTCATGATGATATTTATTGTCGGGACACAACAAGACAAGAATCCATTTATTAGTATACAATCAATTCATACTAAAAAAAAATGAAGACGATAACTGCATGTAAAATGTCGCTCTATAAACCACACCGACGTCAATCGTATTCATAAATCGTTTAGCTCCTACGATGATGAGCAGAATCACTAAAAAAATCCTCAGTTGTCGTGATAATAAGCATACTGTAACACTTCAAGTAATGCAAACTTATATTTTCTCGTTGTTCAAGCAATTTTCTGTACTAGTATCAACAAGAGTTCCTTTTCATTCTGTAAGAAAATATTGAAATAGTTCGTCCATGCCATAACCATGGAGCTTCAGCCTCATAACTCCATCTTGGTATAATTATTATCAATGCTATTACCTATCCTGCAACAATTATAAGAAACTGGTCTCACTCTGTAGTGACGATCAGCTCTTTGTTTATAACACCGTGTCTTTGATATATATGGCGTCCGCGCCTGCACTGGATCATTGGAGAGTGCTCCTGAAGTACAACAAGAAATTAAAGTAAATTTCTATCCTGTTTCTACCACTGTGTTTTCATAAGACTAGGTGGCCGAAGTATTCGAAGTCGAAACAAAACCTCATAAATAAAGATTTCTATTTCACGGTTGTAACCAGAATGGGTGTTGTTTTTCATCCACGCGATAGCCGGAACCTAAACAAAGTATCATTTGTCTCAAACAAAATAGATTGTTTTATTTCTCTCGGCCATTAGAAATAAATTCCACAGGAAAAAGACACCACAGTCTCTGACCACGCGTTTGCAGGTATCACTATGAACATGACAGACAAAGAGAGCGGATAAAATATACAGTTCCTCAGGTAGACAAAGGAACATTCCTTCACTGCTATTGTGTAAAACAGGTGTCATATGCATATTCACCTGTTCTACACATTTTTACATAATAGCAGAGAAGGGATGTTCCTTTGTCTACCTGAGGAACTGTATATTTTGTCCGCCTTCTTTGTCTGTCATGTTCATAGTGTATTCGATGTCTGTAAACAATAGAGGCGATTTCTCTTCAAAAGTAGTTGCGTTTTAAAAGAATTTGTCATTTCCTGTCTTCATCAATTCCTAGAATAATTATGTTTTTATCTCTTCTTTCACCTCAACATGACAAATAATACGACAGATATTTGCAAATCCAAGGACCTCTGTGACCAATATTGTACATTACTCCATAATCTATATTACAGGCATTACGTACCCTTTTCTTCAAATCTGTGTCAGCAATGCTTCTTCTTTATGGAGACAGTCAATACGAGATATTAAACTACGTCCACGGCGATGTTCATTGTGTTTTTTTTAGAGATTCATCCTAAACAAATAACCATGGTAACGCATTCCAAAATGTCCACCTGTAGATAACACATGTGTTAGATATCGGAAACAGAAATATAACCACTGCTGCCTGCGAATCATTCACCATCAGAGCTAGAGACGTATCGAAGGCAACAGTATTCTGCTCCCATCGTAATTAGGAAAACTGAAGCAAAATCAAAACACTGCCGATTTCACTTTTTCATCAACGCAAAATAACGATGACTTCTTGCTAGATCAATCTAGTGTCCTTGGTTCCCTTGGAGAAAAATCATAGAGTCTCGACACAACATGTCTACTATGACAATGATTAACATGACAATCATACATTTTCACGCTGTCGCAATTAATGATTCAGAGCAATTTGTATAAAATGACCACGAAAGATACTCTGGTAGAATCTAAACCCGTCTCATCGTTGTCTCATTATTCTCTTGTCTGTCCGCATGGAGCAAGGTTTGGAGAATGCCTGTATGCTTTCAGCTCCATTGGTGTTTCATATTTGCTTTAATAACGCCGATCGATTTTCATCACAGGGTACACACACACGCACACGCGCACACTCAGACACGCACCCTCACGTACGCACACCGACGCGGGACAATGAATGGATCACTTATCACATTTCATCGCAGCCACAAAAAAGGCGTTCCTGAACAAGTTCGCCGGGTAATTATTGCTCATCTACCAGAAGCAATTTAAATTTGTCTCTCCTAATTGATGCATGACCAATTACCAATGTAAATTTTCAATTCAGTAGAAGGGCGTTGTTTCAAACGTGATTCGTGCCCGTCGGTTAGCGTGTAATAGTTACTATGAGAAGAGTTATCCAGTTGAAGAATTGTATTTTAATCACGACGTGTGCTTTCAGTACTCATACTTAGCATTTCTCGACATTTGGATCAACAGGTTATCTAATTAATCGATAGCATTCCAAACAAAGGCGAAACTAATTAATATTCTACACGACATAAATGAAATGCTTTATGTGAAGCTGTGAGCTACCGGCTGTGTATGTTTCACTTCTATATGTAATACTTCTCAGCTCTTTTGGTAACGAGATGACGATCGAGAGGCAGCTTTCAAAATGCTACCATTTTTACCAATAAATGAAACTCGCTTCGAAACCTAAAATGCTCACAGGTTCCCGAGTAATAGTAGCTTCAAAACATGTATTCAATTGTTGCCATTAAATGTCAATTCTTTTGAAATACCATGCTCCAAGCGTCTAAAATTATGGATCACAATCACGGCTTTAGTATTCAATACCAGATGTATCTGGTCTTCACCGTCAGCAGGTGTCCGTATTTTTGATGCGAAAACACCTGTTATCAGCTTCGAGAACGTCAAAAACTACAAACATCACACCATCCACAGATATTAATTGAAATCCAAGACATGAATCCAAACGATTCTTTAAAGAAGTTTATGAAGACTGTATCCTTCTCTTGCAGGGAAAGCATCCTGGAACAGCCTCGCGATTTAGCATCTCATCAACAGCTAAATCCACAGGATTCATATCATACCCCACCATACTCACACACGAGATGGAACGACATGGAGGAGAAACGAATCGGATGCTGATGATGATGTTGGAAGCGATGACGTGGCAAGCTTACTTGACCCGCATCTCACCCGTGATGACGAGATGCACAAAGAACCTCCAATCTCCCTCCACGCACGGGGGTTTCAGGAGCAATCACCCTTTATTAACATATTCAGGCCCAGGGGGCAGGGACTGTGCATTACAATAGCATCATCTATGCAGCACCCATTCAACATCCATTCTTCATCCATGAAGCAAGGAAGTACTTTAAGCCTCCCTCCTCTTCGTACATGCGAGAGGAGGTCGTTGACTTATTTGTTATTTTCTGCTATTTTACTTTACAATGCTACAATAAATTGCTGGAGCGAAATAGCATCCATCTCCTTTATCATTATGTTGTCGATGATTTTCATATCATTTTGCAAGACTATTCTCAATTTTAATTATTCTATTTTGAAATATACATATCAAAGTCGTCGTTATTGTGCAATCAAATTTGAAAGAGGCATAGTTGCGCTGAGTTCATCAAAATAACACTTCCGATTTAATTTCTTTTTCATTCTCATGCTTTCTCGGAACAATAAAAAGCATAGGGAAAATCAATTTTAATTCGTAACGGTAAGCATTGTATTTGTACCAAGGAAGAATATCCCTAAAAGTCAGCTATCAACATTTTTAAATACGTTCAAAAGTATTTCATCCAAACGTGGCCACTCACGTATCTTCACATTAGCATTGAATAAATAAATCTGTGAAATAGATACGACGATACCTAATAGTGCCTTCTTTGAGAGGGGTGAAAGGTGCCGGGATTGCATTTTGATTAAAGAAGGCTATTTTCGATGAAGAAACGCAAGAGAACATGAACTTAACGCATCGTGAATGTTCAAACATTATGCTCACAAAAGAAAATATCCTTGCGCCCTTCGTCTTGACTCTTTCACCTTTCAAATCATTGTTAACAATGGAAACTAATCATAGCATAAATCATCATTTCTTTGTCATCTGTCAAACACGTTTGCACAAATCGAACTCCCGAATCGGTGTTTGAAACGCTTCTTGAACAGGACATAAATTGATCCCAACCGCATACGAGGTGAGCTCCGAGAATAACATGAATGAAAGAAGCTATAGCTAGGTTCAAACGGGACCGTCGTAGCTCAAACATAAATTGTTCTACACCTCAAAGTTTTAAACAACGATCCTATTACACCGACCAGGGTTCACACGGGACCGAAACAGTTTAAAACTACAACCCGATCCGGGCAAGCAACTGTAACTACAAGCTGGCGTAACCTCGATGTTATGCGTCCACACTTAACTTCGAGTGAGGACACCTGCTGCACAACGAGTTTCATCTCCACGGTCCCTAACTATAAGATAACTTCTGTCGTGTAAACCTTACTAATGATTCCTCATGTTACGTATTTAAACATGATTACGATGACCTTCTCCAAACCACAGGCAATAACAAACGTAAAGCAATCCCAATCAATTAAGACAATTATCAAAATGACACACGTCACGCTTCAAGGTATGTGAAACATAAGTCACAAAAAGCAGAAAGGGTTTTGATAAACTTGACCAACGAGATTGTAACTCTGATGGATATCAATTGTAATCCAAAGCAATATCTTGTCATGTTTCTTTTAACCGCTGACCGTTAACGATGATATTGATCGTCTGCTCTAACCCATAAAAATGTCTCCCCTCACACCACGGAAAAACAACTTCGTAAAAACGATTAAGTGAAAGGGATCCTCAATGGCGAAGTTGGAAAAAGGATTTGGAAATCCCCAGGAAAAGTTCAACTCTCAATAAGCGATGAGTATTGTATCATCGTTTGTCCTCCAGCATCGCTTCTAAATAAATCACATTTATACTTGCTATCTAGCAAAACTCTGGAAATTTAGGTCTCCACGTCCTCATCAATTAAACGTTAAACGTTTGTTAATGTCTAAAATTGCCTATGAATTGAAACGAAGAAAAAACAAACAATCAACTCCTTAATCTGAAAAGAGATCTCGTAAAAAGTATAGATTTCTAATAATGTTAAAATACGGCATAAAACTTTACACATATACCTTCAAAAAAAAGAGGATCAAAAGAAATAATTTTCAAAAACTGGACTTAATCAGTGATTACAGTAAGTGCTCACTGTATAGTAAAAGTCTGGAAACAGTCTCCTTCTCCTTCTGCTTCTTCTCCTTCTTCTTCTGCTTCTTCTTTTTTTTTTTCTTCTTCTTCTTCTTCTTCTTCTTCTTCCTCCTCTTCTTCCTCTCT